ACAAAAACAAACAGAGGTGGGACGTTTGGAGATGAATGTTGTGGTGCAGGACTTCGACAGCCAAAAGGTTTTCCTCTAGACCGCAATGGGCTTCGAGACATGAAAGAAGTACTTGTAGCTGCCAACATTCATTTCAATACACAGAAAAAAAAGAGGGAAAAAGTCCCAGCCCCCACTACCTTTGTTCCTTTGTTTATCATCTGAAATGTTTTTAAAGAGCAAATGGTACAGGTTCTTTATCTAGGGTGCGACTGAAATTACATATCAAATGAAGATGTGCAGATTAACAGAGCAACAACAGTAGCAGCTGATAATGGACGTTAAATATTGACTAATGCATGCGACTGCCTCTTTGGTTTGGACATATGAGAAATGAACAATAATTGAAGAAATCAATGCAGTGCTTTTGCCTATAGATACAATCACGCAAAGTTTTTATATAATATGAAATTAGCTTTAAAGAAATAAAAATGGAAAATTTCTAGACGATTCTGTGCTGTTTGACATGCAAGTGCATTGCTTTGCCTTACGTCACGGAGTTTGGTGACACCTGGTGGTCAAAACACGCAAAGGAAAACACAGTTCATAGTTAAAGGGCAGATGGACAGATTTCCTAATATATATATATATATATATATATATATATATACATATATACTCCTGATTATTTTTATTACAAGTAGAAGTGTTGGAATGCTTGGTGTCATTATATTATGAACACAAATATGAGCAAGCAGAGGACTCGATTGGAATCAACTCCAAGTTGAACTTGATTGGATTCATGCCATTCTTTACTCCCCATTTTCGTCCTCTTTCTCTTTCTGTTATATGCATTATTGTAATTGTTTGCATTACAATGCAAATAACTGGATCTAAATATTGAAAATAAAATTAATTTCCACTAGTTATTATTAAGGAGAAGCCACATTTCTATATCTGCCGGCAAACATAACAGTATATTCATAACTTTCTTGTCCTGTTTTCACAGTAGAGAAAATTACATATCCATAGGTAGGATACATAACTTGTCCCCAATAGATAGATAGATAGATAGATAGATGAAGTTGGACCTAATAAGAGATAAAAAAAAAAGACAACTAAAATTAGCTTACCTAAACATGGTCATCTTCAAAGTCATCCACCACCCATATTAAACAAGTCCCACCTTTCTTTCTCGCCGGCAATAATTATTTGTGCAATTTTTAACTTTTAACCAATCACATTCTCCACCCTCTCAACCGAGACTCTGATTGGCTTGTTCTCCTGACAAGCTTGTCTCTTAACATGATTTATGTTGTGTTATGGACGTGCTAAACAGGCATAACCTCTCTTATTACTCATCTTCCCCCCCAAAACACGGTAAGAACACATTTTTGCATGTGCGACCTGGTATGGGGATTAAAGCCGATCCGCATGCTTACAGATAACTGGATTTATTCACTAACCATCAGAGCGGAGGTGTGGTGTCAGTTTTCTGACCGGCTCCTCAGGTGTCAGCTCCCTGATAGTCTGTCCTTCCAAATGTCAACTCCTAGTTAATGGGTTGGTTGCTACACTGCAATCATCTCTCACTTTTGTCAGACTCCCCACTTAATGACAAAATTAAAAACATACTAATGAGGTACTGCACAATATCATTTCCCAGCACATGTTAACTCATAAATATGCTGTGTCTACGTTAGAAAATTGGAAGTAAGAGCTGAGGAGTCTGGCAGTGTCTCAAAGGGGCAATTCAGTGATGTAAAAGTTTTGTCATTGCCCTCTCAAATGTTAAGTCCTGGCTTGTGGATTGGATGTTACAGTGCGATCATTTCATTCAGGAGCTTCTGGAAATCCCATACCACCTATTGATATAGGTAGAGATTTATTACTGGAAAGCGTCACATTAATGCCTCACCCTTGGATTACTTGATAAATGTGTCTTGTTTACACTAAACAAATGAAGAACTGGAGGCATGGTGAGTGAATTCAGTAAGTGAAATGCTAACTTGTTTAATGTTAGCTTGCTGACATACTTCTAAGTGGACCTGTGTGTATTTTGTTGATTTGCAAATGTAATACAAACAAAATTGTTGCCTATTGCCCCTGTAAAGTTGCCTGCTCCCCATTAGCCACTACTTGATACTCTTAAATGCACCAATTGTTTAGGCCATAAATGTAGCATATCAACATATTTATATGTTTGTTTTAAAATGGTAATTGGTTTTCATCTCTGCACAATCTAACACCCATTAGTTCAAATGGCTTGAATTTGACAACAGTGCAATTTCTGGAGGTGCCCTTGTTCTTTCTTAGCACTTGTCTCCAGAAATATCAGCTTGTTTTTATTGGTCTGGGCAGCACAATGTAGTGTTTTTTTACATAATAATTTTTCAGCCATAAATTGTGTTTGAAAATCTACTATAAGAACATAAAACAAGACTTGTTTTTTAAACTAGTCTGTTAGGAGATGTACTTGGTACACACATCGGAGATGACATATAGCAGAAGTTTTCTAACTCTCCTCTAGGACATCTGAGACAGAGGTCACTGAGTTTATATAGGAACAGTCCTATAAATTTGCTGCCCTGTCTCCCATATTACAGTATCTTCCCAATAGTTCGTATTGATTTTCCACTCCGTTTTAGTAACTGTCTCAAATTTCAATGTCCAACCCAGGAAAGGAATTAGACCAGATGATACTTGCTTATACTTACCTACCAACCCTGAATAGGAATTTATATTTTATTTACTTTGGATCAACATTATTAGCTTTTTCGTCTTTAGCTCTTTCCTTTGGTTTGTTATTTTGTTTGTATTTCTTTTTAAATCCTGTAAAGCACTTTGTATTGCCTTGTTGCTGAAAATGTGCTATATAAATAAAATTACCTTTACCTTTAACCTTTACCTTTGTTGAGGGTTTGGGTGTAACATAGCAAACATTTCTCCCCAGGTCTTTATTTAGCATTTCTGGATAACCTATTGGAATTAGGTCAGTCAAATTTATAGTTGGCTGTCAACGAAATAAGACCTCAAATTTGCATTAGCTGGTAGTTGATGATAGTCTTTAAGATTTGATACAGTGTCTAAAGTGAAGACCATCTGCAGAAATAGGTGGCATTAGAATGATATTACAAAAAAAAAACCTGAAAAGGCATGGTCAGGGAGTCAGCCAAGAAGCTGTCAACAACTCAATGGAAGGTAGACAAGTTTCCATCAAGTGCTGGTTGAGTTCAACATGTGACAACAAACCTCTGTACTGTCCATGTCTCTTAGCCAAGGAATAGGGTTGCAAGACAGAAGTATTTTCGTCCAAAGAAAACATTCAGGCCTAGCTAAAGTCTCCTGAATCCTTGTGGAAGAATGTGATGACCTTTTGAAATTAAGTTCAAAGTTAATGAGCTTGAGCACAAGAACAGTGAAAGATGGAAGTGGCGCCATCATGATCTGGGGGATTACTTATTTTCAGATGGAATTGAGGATTTTTCTTTTTACCCAAAACCCCAATTAATCTGCTATAACACTGAATACTGAATGCTTATTGGTTTTTTTAACCATGGCTGAATCCAAACATATTTCCACATCACCAAAAAGATGAGCTTCAATGGGACCAAATGTTTTATTTCGAATGCGAGTCACAGTTCAGAACCAAAATCTCTGTTGATAAAAGTGTTTTGGAGATTTTTTTTTTATTCATTGTAAAACAAAATAAAATAAAAAATAAATAAAAAAAAGTCTGTAATTTACGGTGAAATACAGGCAGCTGTGGTTCCCAGAATTTTACTGTAAATTAGATACTTTTTATTTACAGTGTAGGTAAAAATTACAAAGTCAGGACAGGGAAGGCTTGATGCTGAGATCTCACTGGTAGCTCCTTTAACAAAATGTTCACTCTTATTCAAAGGAGTTATTACACAAGTTATTGAGAAATAGTCTATCTTGGTCTCATATGTTTTTGCATCACAGAAAACTGGCATTATGACAGCAATATGTACACATTTGAGAGCCAATCTATGTAGAAGGTACTGTACCCAATAAATTATCAACGCATTTGCCTCCATCTTCGTAATATACTTACATTTATCCATTTATCTTTTGAATATTTTTTTTATTTACTCAGGTTGTTGGACAACCAAACTTGTTAATCAATATTGATCAAAGCAGATTCCAAACGAGTAAATTAGTCTCTAATGTAAAAAATCCAGTATCAGAAAATACACTGAAAACACCCACATTGCAGAGTTTTTGAGTAATGCTTCACGTGACAGCAGCAGCAGCCCTGCTGCATCCTCGTAACTACGTGGTGTCATCTGTCTAACTGTGTCCTCTGTCTAAATGTGTCATCTGTCTAAATGTGTCATCTGTCTAGCCGTGTCCTCGGATGTCAGCTCTCTGTAACAAATTTTCCCATCAAACGTCATCTCCTCCTTGACGGATTGGGTGCGACACTGCAGCCATTTCTTTTTTTTTTTTTTTTAGAACCACTATTAGGCTCGCTGACATTCAATTTGAAATGATTTATAAATTTTAAAAAATACACGCATAAAAAAAATAATGTTTGTAGTTAGTTTGTCTAATATTATGGTAATGCTGAAAAGTAATTGTTTTACAATAGAAATCAGACTCGTAGATTTAATTTTTGCAGCTTTGGTCAGAAGTCATACACTCATCCATGCAGTGACATGAATAACAAATGAATTTTCTGTTTTTAGTGATTCATTTGAACTATTCTTTGGATTTTTGACTCTGTAATTTGATTTTTCAAAACCAGAACTGGATGCACAAGGATTGGAAAAACATCCAATTTAAAATTCAAAACCATAGGCCCAGTTGTAATGTTTGAAAATGTTTTGTTGTTGTATAATCATTTTGCATGTTCACGTTTATTTGTACAAGTCTAAAACAAATCAATCACAGATGACCGCATGTTAGGTTTCTGTCTGATTTTTATCAGACACATTAAAAATGTGCTTGTTTTTATCAAAACTCTTGCTAAATCATTTTTTCTTGTCTCCCTAAGGCGAAAGCTGTGTAAAATACAAATATGGAGAAACTATCAGGGTATGAATTATATCATCAATAATCCACGGTTCCACTCTCCTCATTATCATGACTTATCAGGTGTAAATTCCTGTTCTTTGTGTTTCAACAAGTTTGGGTGATCTGTCTGAGATGTTACTCGCCGGTACCAAGGAGTCCCACACCAAACTCGAGATCTCCCAGCTGGGCAGAGATTTCTACAAAGGGATCGTCAAAAAGGACGTCCTTAAGGTTTGCTTCCTTTTAAACTGCTGTTGTATGAAATTCTGTTCAAACATTTTCATGATGCTAACTTATAAGGAACCATAGTTATTGAGAAGGTTCTGCTGTTTGTCTCCGCTCTGGCTCATTAATATCATGGTAAGTCTGTGCTTGATTCTAGAGGAGTCCTTAAGCATCTGGTATTTAGATCTTAGCTTTGGAACGGACGTGCCACAGCTACCCAACCACATTTATTTATACATGAATAGTTCCAATGCCAAAGGAACACTTTGGATCCTCTGTGGTAATACCAGTAGGTTTTATATTTTGGCTTAAGCCAGGGTTCGTCCACACATGTCCTAGAATATTTGCATCTGTATGCATTAGGGGTGCACCGATTGCAGCTTTCTGGCCAATCGCCAATCTGCCGACACTGATTTTTGGTATCGGCAGGTCAGGCTGTTTTGGCTTTTTTTAAACTGACTCTGCCAGGTGTTACAACGTCACAATACAATGTTCCAGTTTTATTTTATTGTAAAACATTGACAATTAAAAACTACTAAACTAACTGAATTAAGACAATCAGTTCCTTTCGTCAGTTTTCAGACAGAGCAGTAGGTGACAGTGGCTGATTTTCAGACCTTCGCAGAGGTAGATAAAATTGGGGGATAAGATCAGCTTCACGTGTAAGTATTACCTGATCGGTGATCACCCAAAATTAGGGAGGGCAGGGTTAGGGTTATTAACCCAATCGTGCTAATTGATTGATGTCCCCTAGTATTCAGTCTGCCATGGTGTAAAACAAAACAGTTTGAACTTACATTTTGTCAGAAGGTGTGAAAATAATAATGGAGGGGAAATGATACAGTGAAGGGCATGCAGGGCATGTTCAGTCAGCACTTTTACTGCTGTTGCCTCTGCAGGTCTTTTCGTTGTATGTCCCAACTGAGCTCTGTCAGACTGGAGGGCAAGTATCTGTGAGCTGCGATGTTCAAGTCTTGCCAAACATTCCCAGTTGGACTTTGGCCCAGACTTTTACTGGGTCATTCTGACCTATCAGTAATCTTTGTTTTAAACTATTCTGTTGTAGCTCTGGTTGTATTTTTAGGGTTGTTGTTTGCTGCTCAAGCTTCAAGTTTCTGCCAGCCCATTATTCAGTATTCATCTTCCCGTCAACTCTGAGTAACCTTCGTGTCCTTGCATAAGAAAAGCCTCCCTGCTGCATGATGCTGCTTTCTCCATGTTTCACCTCGTGGATGGCGTGTTCAGGATGGGCCACTCTTTTAGTTTTCATCCTCACATCTTGAGCAAAAAGCTGAATATTGGTCTCATTTAACCTGAGTACTTTCTTCTAGATGTTTGCTGTACCTCTTCCTCATTGTAATTACTTGTTTTACATTTTGCAATATACAAGAAAACCCAGCAATCTCCTGAAATATTAGTCAAACTCTTGTCTTTTCCTTAAGAGGTCTGGTCTTGGTTGTGAAAGAACCGGCATGGAGCAAACACTCCATGCCTGGTTTGCAGTTGTACTAGGTCTTCCCATTTCCAGAGAAATGTTCCTAGGATATTGTTTGTAACCTAAAACGATACTTTCTCTTCCACTGTTGTCAAATCTGAATGAACTACATTGAAATTTCTGGTTGTATTGGACTAAAACGTGAAAAAGTATAACGTATGAATACTTATGTAAGGCGCAATATGTTACCTGATTGGCTTTTTCTACTTGATTGGGAAATCTGGTATTACTGGCTATTGCTGCTCATCAAAAGCAAGGCAGGCTGTAAATATAATATTAATGTAAACCATGCGTTTTAATTTAGGGTCCCACTTTGGTGACAGTGTAAAAAATTCTGGAAACCATCATCAAGATCGTCTTAGTAAGCCTTGTGAAGGCCGTATCTGTAATTATAGCAAAGACCTTCATTCAGCTTTTTCCTTTCTACTTCTTCTCACGCAATCAGAAAGGCATAGAGGCTCTGTACTTCATCTATTCGGCCATGGAGGATGAGCTGGAGAGGAACAAAGACCATCCTTACATCGCTCCCATCTATTTTCCTACGGAGCTTTACCGCCGCGAAGCCCTGGCCCAGGACCTGCAGTACTTTTATGGAGTGGACTGGGAGAGTCTGGTGAGCAGAAGGCACTCAGCTTCCATGTTACGCCATAGACAGAGTTAGTTTCTTCTGGTGCTCGTGTGTTAATAGTGTGTTTCACTGGGCTTCAGTACACATATAGTGTTGATTTAGTAGATTCATTATTTAAAACAGAACATACAACCCCAGTTCCAATGAACTTGGGATGCTGTGTAAAACATAAATAAAGACAGAATACAATGATTTCCAAATCATTTTCAATCTATGTTCAATTGAATTCACTAAAAAGACAAGATATTTAATGTTTCAATGGGAAAACTTTGTTCAGCTTTTGCACTTATTCACTCTTTTTGAATTTGGTGCAAAAATCACTTGTTTGGAACATTTCACAGATGAACAGGTTAATTGTAAACTGGTGAGCGTCATGATTACGAATGAGGGGAAGCGAGCAAGGACCGGGCGAGGTTCACCACTTTGTGAGCAACAGTTTAGGAACAACATTTCTCATTTTTTCCCATTTCATGATCTACAGTCCATAATATCATCAAAAGAGTCAGATAATCTAGAGAAATCTCTGCTAGCAAGCAGCTGCATTAAAACTGACATCATTTTGTATCAGATATCACCACATGGACTCAGGAATACTTCAGAAAACCGCTGTCAGTGAACACAGTTCATCGCTATATCTTCAAGTTCAAGTTAAAATTCTGCAATGCAAAGCAAAAACCATATCTATCAAACAACAACCAAAAACACTGGCAGCTTTTTTGGGGTCAAATCTTATGTGATATGGACTGACCCAAAGTAGAAAAGCGTCCTGTGGTCTGATGAGTCCACATTTCAAATGGTGTTTGAAAATCGTCATGTCCTCCTGACCAAAGAGCAAAAGGACTGTCCAGATTTTTATTAGCGCACAGTTCAAAAGCTAGCACCTGTCATAGTAAGGGTGTGTGTTAGTGCCCATGACATGTGCTGAAAGGTACACACAGGTTTTGGAGCAACGTATGCTGCCATCCAAGAAACATCTTTTTCAGGGACGTTCCAGCTTATTCCAGCAAGACGGTGCCAAGCCACATGCTGCAACAACAGAGTGGCTTAGCACTAAAAGAGTGCAGGAACTAGACTGGCTACCTGCAGTCCAGGCCTGTCTCCCATTGAAAATGTGTTGTGCATTATGTAAATAAGACAATAGAAACCCAGAACTGTTGCTGGAGGTGTATATCAAGCAAGAATGGGAAAGCGTTCGACCTATAAAGCTCTATCAATGAGTGTCTTCAGTTCCCAAATACATTTTACACAACGTCCCGACTTCTTTTGAATTGGGGTTGTATTTCTTGATATCAGCGAGTTCTGACACGGAATAAAAAAACGCATTCTTCTGCGTCAGATAAGCCCGTCCCCAGCCACGACGCTTTGGGTGAAACGGATTCACGAAGTGGGGAAGAAAGACCCGGGGATGTTGGTGGCCCACTGCTATGTTCGCTACATCGGAGACCTGTCGGGCGGACACATGCTCAACAACGTGGCCAAGAAGGTCCTCAGGCTCCCCGCGACGGGGGAGGGTCTCCGATTCTACCAGTTTGAGGGAATCACCAGCCACAAGGGCTTCAAGCAGCTCTACCGAAGCAAGCTGAACGAGGTGGACGTGGAGATGGAGACCAAACTGAGCATTGTGGATGAGGCCATCAGGGCCTATGACTACTCACTGCTGGTGAGTGAGCGGGCACGATGCCTGTTAGCAAATTTATTGAGGGAAAAACATTAAACATAAATGTGACGCCGTTATTTTTGAATATGAATAAAGTAAAAAAAAAAATGCATGTATTTTCAGGTCACTGCAGAGCTTGAAGAAATTGGAAAGACCAGCAAAGAGGAAGCTACAGGTTTTGGACATAGTCATGGTGCCGGGGCAGGTGCCATGGGAGGTGAGGGCAAGTGTCCGTTCTCTTCAGGTAATACAGGTAAGAGGTTCAGAATCAATCTAGTACCTCATACATCTGGGTAATGCTATTAAAAATAAAACAGAAGTCAAGTCACGTTTATTTGTATAGCACATTTCAGCAACAAGAACAAAGTGCTTTACATATAAACATCAAAATCACCAAGCAAACACACACCAAATATGTTGATGAATATCCAAATTACTAATCAAAGGCGACTCTAAACTGGTGGGCTTTAGCCTCGATTTAAAGGAACTCAGTACTTCGACATCTTTGCAGTTTTCTGGAAGTTTGTTCCAGATCAGAGCATAGAACCTAAATTCTCCTTCTCCATATTTGGTTCCGGTTCGGGAGATGCAGAGTAGACCAGAACCAGAACCTAAGAGGTCTGGAAGGCTGATACAACAATGACAGATCTTTAATGTACTTTGGTGCTGGGCCACTGACATTACACCCTCAAGGTTTCATAAACAGGGGAAGGTATGAACAAAAGAGCGAATATCAAGATAACAGCAGCAATATGTAATTTTACTGACTGAGCAGCTGCTCTCTTACATTGTCTGAATGTACAAGCAGAAAATTAAAAGTTGTCCTGGTTTCAGTGTCTTGAAGACATGCCTGTAGCGTATCACCTGCTGTAACTGAGTTGATTTGTTAGGATTTATGGATAAATAAAGCTGGTTGTCATAAATACAACATTGAAACTGCATCCCATGCTGTCTGATAATGTCACCAAGTTAAAGCATAAAAAATAAATAGAATTAGCTCTGAACCCTGCGGTACTCCACAAGTAACGCCACTGTTCCTGTTGACTGCACCTGCTTCCTTCTTTTTAATCTCATATCTTAACCTATTGAACTCTGACCTTCATCTCCTCCTTCTCTGTGTGCAGCTGCCGGCGAGAGCGCCACCTACCTCAGCCACATACCCAATCAGCTGGCTGTTGCCGCCCTGGTTGCCATCCTTGCTGGCTTCACAGCGTGGTATTCTCTGAGAGCTCCTTGAGGGAAGAACTTGGTGTCGTTTCATTGCAAATGGAGCCCAGCTGCATTAATTTAGTGTTAGCACTTTATTAGCACTTTAGGGCAGTTTTTTTCATTACTGTGGATCATATATAGCTTGGCTTCCAGTATTGCAGTTAGGAATGAGGAAGCTTTTCTGATAATATATGCATGTTGTGTAAGAATTAAAATGCTTGCATCATGTATGCCTGCAAACAGTATTTAGAGAAGCTTCATCCTCCAAAGAACATTGAAACACTGAAACCTCTAGCAAGGAGGCTAGTTTTGTTTTATATCAATATACACTGAGGCTGAAGATGCTCTGTACAAATGTGTATTTGTTAAACAATAAAAAGTTTTAAATGTCATAACAACTGCTCTTGGATTTTTATCGCATACAGTATAGCTTTCTCGCATAGGTGGGAGGCTTCAGATAAATTTGTTTAAAACTCCCGTTAGCCTTTTCCTTCTTTAAGTTGCAAAACAGACTGGACTGGAGACTCAGCAGTGAAGCTTTCAACGGGAAGGGACAGAGCAGAATGGACCTCTTGATGAAACTGACGTCCTTCGGTGTTCGCAGCAAAACGCTGCAAATCTTTGATAGGTTTGTTATTGAGAGAGTCATCTCTTTTGCTGTCATCTTTTGGGGCAGCAGCATCAGAACCAGAGACTTTAAAAGGCTCAACAAAGGCTGATAAAGAAGGCTGGAAATTTATGGAGCAACGGAGGATTTATAAAAATCAAGGAAATTATGGACAAACCTGTGCAGCCTCTATAAAAGAGGCTTCATCAGTGCTGCTGTAATACAGCTTGATAGGAGATCCATCTTGCCCACAGCAATCAGCATCTTCTCTTTGAAGGAACTTAGATAATATGACTTACAAAATGTCATTCATGATCAGTAAAGTATTTCTGAATTAAATCATCATAAATGATGTAACATGCAGGGTTTTGTATCGATATTTTAAGATTCTAAGGGGGTACCTTGCTCTTAAAGTTTTACAAACATTTTACCATGGCTGACTGGCTTCAGTTGTACATATAGACATGTTTCAGAAATCCAGAAAATCTGCTTTTATTGGCGTGTTTAAGATATCTTGCAGAAACCTGGTTCGAGCTGCCAAATTTATTTACTGTCGATTTGATAGACACATCTTCAGAAAAAGTGCATTCAACTTCATTATCATCACTCTTTGTACAATTAAGAAAAACAAAATAATATTTTCTACACTTGTTACTCCATTTGTATTAGCCGATGGTGACATTTTACCATTATTCATGCCATACATTCATTCTCAAAACTTACCTTGGTGGAATCGCCACTCACAATATGGCGGACACGCCGGAGAGGCAACAAAGTGATGCATCGCGTCATCTAAACTTCTTCGCTGAAACTCATGATTGGTGTAGCTTTTAACCAATCATCTTCTTCCTTCTCCTCGGAAGGCAGGCTGCGCACTGAGAAGGTAAACAAAGCTTCTCAATTTCATATTTTCTACAAACCACGTTAGGGTGAATTTCACGTGTTGGGCTGTTAATGAATGAAAGTTACTTTTTGCACAGTTTTTAATATTAACAGACTTATTAATGTGCTCTCGACATGACCTCCAGTGACAGTTTTGTAACTGTCCCCCAAATGTCAGGTGCTGGTCATGTAAACCTCACTACACTCCAACAGTTTAACACAATACTGAGGGAATGCCAAACAACTTTATTATCACACATGTATTCTACAGGAACGACATAATAATTATATTATATCAACCTGAAAAAACTGCAGCCGTGTAAAACGACACTCAGGAGTTCCTTTACCGTAATACACCACATACAGCGCATCCAAGATGTAACCTAAAGCAAGCTGGTTGTGTCTGTTCACTTGACTGCAGTAGTAGGTAGTAGTAGCATAAGATGTCCTGAAATTATTTTAGCACAATTTGACTGTTAGTTGGGGGGGGTTTTAAGATCTGTAATTCAGACTTTAGAGTTGTGAAATCACATATTTAAATGTTATATTATTATATTCCTGCCTCAATAAGGTGGCAACTCTGAAAACAAGAAAGATGGATAGCAATTCAATCTCTGAACCCAAATCCAATGGAGTGAAGAAAGGAGGAGCCAGGATCATTGTGGATGACAATGATGAGGGTCTTAGGTAAAGACCTAACGGGGCCTTTCACCTGAAATACCTACTCTATGGTGAGATGTTTGAAGTGTTAATAACTGTATTTTATTTCTCTCTTTTTCAACAAGTCCAACCGACCTGTCTGAGATGTTAGCCGAGGGCACCAAGGAGTCCCACGATCGAGCAGAGAACTGTCAGTTCGTCAAAGATTTCCTCAGGGGTCACATCATCAAGGATGTGTTTAAGGTTGACTTTAAAAATACACATACTTGACATGTTCAAAATACACAGGGCCCTATGATTGAAAATGGTCGTACTTTCCTTTAGAACATTATCCGATTTTTTGTTTTGTTTTTTTACCACTTCTGCATATACTGTAAATATTTGCATTTCAGATAGAGAACCTATTAAAATTGTTGTTGCGTATGGTTGTTCTGAGCTATGTGCAAGTTTAAATACCTCAAGCTCCATAAACTGGTTTACCAAACAAACATGGAGATCAATTCAAACATCTGAGTTTTGGAAACTCAGCTGCTTTGGTCCATTTAGGGAGGTGTGAATGCGCAATCAAACAATCAAACTCTGGTCCGCCTTCACACCTAGGTCTCGGTTCAATAACAGTCTGCAGACTTGCTTTTGCTCTTGAAAGCATTGTGGGTAAATACAGCCAAAATAACTGCGCAAGTCTCGTGCTAGCAGGAGAAATTGGTCGTGGTCTTCTACCAAAGACGAAAGAGAAATCCTACAAGCGCTAAAATCTGATATCACTCCATTTTTGTTTATGTTTTGTGAAGAATTAGGTTGCGCTCACGTCTTCTTCAGAGGTTTTTGTAATTTCCTTCAGTGATTTTTGGTACAGCGCCACCACAGGCCATGAGGTGAACAAGTTTTTCAAATGTTTGGATAATTTGTCACAATGCAGTGCGAAAGTGAAACGTACCACTTTCAGTGTAGTAATTTTGGTCCCCAGTCAAACCTGATAGTATGAATGAAAACACGCAGAGTTTAAAGCAATTGTGCGCTTCTTTTTTTCTCTTTTATATTCAGAGAGCCACAGTGGCTTTGTACTTTGTCTATTCAGCGATGGAGGAGGAGATAGAGAAGAATAAGGACCACCCTCACATAGCTCCAATCTATTTTCCTGCGGAGTTGCACCGTCGTGAGGCCCTGGCCCGGGACCTGGAGTATTTTTATGGAGCGGACTGGGAGAGCCAAGTGAGCACAAAGCACAGTCATAGTTTACTCTCTATGTAGTTTGTCACATTGTTTTCATTAATTCTCTGCAACAAATTGTGTTGCTGTCAGGAAGCTCATGACCAATGAAAAGCAAACTTGTCATGGCGGCGTTCTCTCCGGCAGATCAGCCTCTCTGCAGGCACCAAGCCTTACGTGGACCGGATCCACGAGGTGGGAGAGGCAGACCCGGTTCTGTTGGTGGCCCATTCCTACACCCGCTACATGGGGGATCTCTCAGGAGGACAGATCCTGAAGAAAGTGGCCCAAAGGGCTCTGAAGCTGCCTGCATCGGGAGAGGGTCTGAACTTCTACCAGTTTGAAGGAATCACCAGCCACAGGGGCTTCAAGCAGCTCTACCGCAGCAGGATGAATGAGCTGGAGCTGGACCCGGAGGCCAAACAGAGGATTGTAGACGAGTCCAATAGGGCGTTTGGATTCAACATGATGGTGGGTGAGCAGGATGGGTCCAATAAAGCTGTAACTAGAAGGTTGAAGTTAACATGGGTATTATTCATTCTTTAATCAGGTGTTCTCAGAGCTTGAGGAAATTGGAAACACCATCAAAGAGGAAGTCCAAGAGCAAGTCTTTGGGCATGCAGAGCTCATTCAAGAAGATGATTTCAACAAGTGCCCGTACTATGCAGCTAAAATGGGTAAGGTGCCTTTGCTGTTCTTTAGTGTAAATTATCTTCTTTGTCCTCTCCTCTTGTTCTTCATTTTTTTCCTTCTTTTCTTTTTGTGCCCATATTTCTGGCCCTCCTTGTGTCGTTTATGTATTCCCTTCTTCAGTCCACACACACTATATGCCTTACATCCCTTTTTAACTTCTGCTTCATCTTCCCTTCCTTGTCTTACCTCCTCTGTTTTACTTCCTTCTTTGTGTTCTACCGTTCCTTCTATCCTTGTTCCACACATACTTAAAGCTTGGCCCCCGTAAAAATATGTTATATTTTCAAATGGCTTCAGTGAAACTCAGAACTCTCAAAAGTGTCTAAAAATGTCTGCATGTTTTAAAGCAAATGTGTAGGAACATTGTACGAATGTTTTTACAGAAAGTTAACACTGCATATCACTGAACGCACCGTCTCCATGGTAAATCGTGATGGCAGCATCATGCTGTGGAGATGGAAAAGTTAAAGGGCTATTGAATGTTGACAAGATAGTTCAAAGTACTAAACAATGTGAGTGTCAATGTGGTTTGATTAGATTTATTGTTCAACCCAATGTTGGATGACTAAAACAGTTGTTTCATTTATTTCTTGGTGGAAGAACTATTATATAAACAGTTCTTATCTACTTGACATAATTAAACTGTCTGTTCTCCGTGCCTAACCTTCCCCTCTCCTCTGTACAGCTGCAAATGGGAATCCAACCTATGCGCTCCAGTTAGTCAAGACGCTTGTGGGTCGTCTGCCCTGCCAGGTGGCGCTGGCGGCCTGGGTTGCCATCTTTGCTGGCTTTACAGCCTGGTACCTTCTGTAAGCTCAGGCAACTTTCATCAGCCTTTAAAAAAGTTCAGGATAAAATGGCTGTTTAAACCATGTTAAATTTTTTTGGGGGAAATAAAATTTTTTTTTTTTTTTTTTTTTTAGTAACTTCACATGTAGGACTGGAGTTAGTCTAAGAAGATATTACATGTCGCGTGACAGTGAGATCTTCCTCCATGGTGCTTTGCTTTTTTTTAAGATTCTGAATTCTGTGGGCATACAGTTATGAGAAATTTGTGAGAAAAGCTAAAAGTTTAAACTTGTGACATGTCATCCAAAATCATAAACTGTATTGAATGTAAAGTAGTTGTAGAGTAATGGAGAGTGTTATGTTGTTTTAAAAAATGCTCTGTGCAAATGTGTGTGCATGTGTAAAAGTAAAAATCCTTAATGTCACTACAGTGGCTCCTGGGTAATATTTACAGTTCATTTCAAATCTTCTGCTTGTAATCCTTCAGACAATGAAAGCAGACAGAATCTATGAAAACATTCAAAAGGTAAAGTAAAAGAAAGCTTTCCTAGTTTTTTTTCTTTTTTTTTTTTTTTGTTGCACAGTCAGGAGCAAATAAAGTTGAAACTTTTCAGTCAGCAGATATAAGCGTTTCACCTGACGCAACTTAATGACGTAGCTGCTTTGAAGCGCCAGGGGGCGCTGTTTGCCCACATTTAGGCTACTTGAACAAGAGAGCGGAAAAGCACGGACTGGATGCTGCTGGACTGGCAAACACCCGAACGAGTCAGTGTGAATGTTTCTATATCATGTTAAAAACGTTGCATCCAATCAGTCCTTTGCTACTGCAATATTACACACAATAACTGCAATGAGGACTGCATTTTGATATATTGTGGTGCCATACCTGATGGCCGAGCCCAATTGCTTTATTATTCAAAAAAGTGCAAGAAGACTTTGTTGAAGTTATTTTTTTATGGAAATAAAAACATATACACTATTTCTTAACAATGGTGAGAGACTGATAGGATTTCTAAGTCCCCAAGAATTTTCATCTTTATACTATTTATTTTCAATAACAGTCAGTGCAAACAATATGCATGATTGTACATTCATTCCATTTTCATCAGTCCAGTCCTCCTGTCCTATCGCTTATATAAGCAACTATTGAAAACTTCCGAAAACTTTCTCAAAGCCTTGTTTATCTATGACCCGTCCAAAACGAGTGGAGAAATAAAACGTGTCTGGACTGCTGTATCTCTTCAGTTTCAGTATAGTCTCACTTGCAGAGTCTCCAGTATCCGCAATGGTCATAACGTCTGACACAGGGAGGTAGATGTCTTGACGCTTGCCCCAGAAAGTGAGGTGAGAAATTTTGAGCGTGGTTAGGGACGGGTCCAGGTACATCATTCCCACAACTCTTCTGAAGAGATGACTGGCAATGTAGAGCATGCCACCAGCAAAAAGCGCAATCCCAGTTGAGTAGCTGACTAGATATAGGGAGACAATTCCTTGGAAGTAGAGGAAGTACACCGGGGGTAAGATGACCAACGTGATTGCAGTCTGAAACAGCTTGAGCCTGGACACAGCTCTCAGGAGCCTAATGTGAGGCATGGTGTAAATCATAGAGTATTTCTGTGTCGATAGGTCAGAGTATCTGACCAGGGTTGTGATTTTTGGCGTGAGGTTTCCACAACAGCTCTGAAGGAGCGGAGTGTGAGCTGAACAAGGCTGAAAACAGCCCAAGAGAAGAAATGATCTTCTGGTGCAGGTCAGGGCCTGAGCAGTGAACCTGGACAGAAATATTGGTCTGATCTGTGGGAAAGAAACATTTATTAGAAAAAAAACAACAACAACTGTGTAGCCCAATTGTGAAAATGCCCGATTTAAAGCAAAACCTTCTCAAATGTACAGTAATCCGTGTAACCAAGGCTAATTTTTAATTCTCTAAACCTTCAGGGGGAAATTACTCGTTTTAGTTGACTGTCAACATGCACTCATTTTACGTTATGGTCTACAAACATTAAGACAAGAGCTAGATAAATTATGAAGTATTCGGTAGAAAGCCAAACTTTTATGTAAGCTGCACTTGTAATTATGAATGACATGCTAACCTGGAGCTAGCTGATAAACTGGATTTTACTTTTCGTTGCTAATAAAATAATATTATTAAAATAATATAAATATCTCACCATAATGCTCATCACGACTGACGAGTGTAGTTTTCTTTTTTTTTTTTAAAGAAAAATGAAAACAAAAGGAGAAGTGACCAAAGTCAACCTGAATATGCTAGGAGCATGCTAATATGAAGCTAGCCTACAGACCGACCCGGAAGAGTTTAACAAAACAAGCCGTCTTTGATTACCCAAATATTTCTCCCCTTTACGGCCCTGCGTAAAGACATAAAGTCAAAAGTGTATTCGACGTTATCTGCTTTATTACTGCTGCCATTATTCCATATATAAAATAACATAGCCGACTAGCGCGGGTATCACGGAAATGCTAGACTGCCATATCCGCTGGGAGGTGCAACCTGAAAGTGTTCCGCTTGTCCGTCCATCCGGGTTAAATGTCCCACCGGCTCTCTGCGGGTATTTGTTTCGCTCTAAATCTTACAATGAACATTTCTAAAATGCTATACCGTACGAGTGGAATATAGTCCTGCGTCGAGCCGTATTTTAGGAAAATGACCGCTGCAGGACAATAAATGTCACATTCAAGGGCGACTTTGCCTCTGCAGTTTGAAGGTAATTTCTGCTTTCCGACTCGAAACTCAGAGGACACGAACAAGGGAAAACAAGGAGAACCACCATGCTTCAGCTGGGAGATGAAGTCACCCTCTACTCGCTGGTCTTCGTGTTGGTCCTGCTGGGAACCCGCAGCCCCTTGTGGTCCACCGCCCTCACGACCTCCCTCTATCTGTTTGTAGCCATGTTCAGGTTCCCGCAGCTGGCGACCAGCAGGGTACGGCAGGTACTGAACCCAGTAGCGGGAAAGGCTTCCGCGATCGCTCACCGAGGCGGTGGACACGACGCCCCGGAGAACACGATAGCAGCCATACGGGAGGTGAGAGTCGGTGCCAACAAAGACAGAACTTTCCACTTCTCTCTAGTCCGTGAAGGAATTTATTTGGGAGAACTCCACTAATTAAAATTGTGATCTTACTGGGTTTTATTTATGAGTATCGGAGTAAAGAGGGCTCACTGCAGTTTTTTGTAATACAATCATTCACTGCAGGTTTTATATCTGTTGTATGACACAATTTGATTCACATTTTGCAACCTATAGTTATATAGTTCTTTCTAGATAAGAACTTACTTCCCTTTTATTTATGAAGAAAGCAAAGTTTTTCCCAAACTTCTCAGTTTTAACCAACTTCATCAACAAAACTGGAAGTGAGAGCTGAATTTTTCTTTTCCACAGATAAACATTTTAAAATATGCTGAACAGTATAGATTGAGTCAAACATTTATGTTTCGCATGTTCTTGAGGTTTTTCCCATTACCTTAAACTTGTTCTCCAAACTTGTTTTGCAAGTATGACTTCAGAAAAAAATGTCTATTCATCCTTCTTTAGTTTGACTTTTCACCTCAAGTGAAAAACAAATCTGTAAAAATTAAACCTCAGATTCCAGGTTCAGGATATCTTTTATTGTCCTTGTAAATAAATTTAACAGCAGAACAGTTAAATTTGCTGTTAAATTGAATATGATTACCCAGCATTGAACCTCACATTTGAAGTACTGTTTTAGTGACTGGGCTTTTCTTAATCTGCAAAAATGTATCAAGCTAAGAAAAAGACGAGGACCTTACTAAGGACCTTATAAGGCCCAAAGTTGCTGAATGGACTGAACTTTAACAGTGACCGCTTCTTTCAACATAGTACAACGTGTCCAGACGACTTCATCTGGTCAATTATAGAGCTTGTTGCTTAGCAACAGCATGTATTACCAATCCCGTACTCGACTTAATACGTCTGATAATTGTGTACCAAATGTTTCTTTGCGATACTACAGTAAAAACATTTTGTACTTTCAATCATCAGCGCAGATCCCTAAATAAAAGTTCTGACGCAACAGTGACACCTAGGGGCTCAACTCGCCTCCTACATGTAATTTTAAACAGTTTTCAGAGAAACTGGATGTTGAGATCAGCCTTGTCAGCGTCGCTCTTTCAAAGGATTTTGTAGCACCTATCTAACCTGTTAAATAAACTTAACTAAATAAAATAACTTTTTTTCTTCAGTTTTGTCTGAAAAATGTTTTCTTTTTGAAAATCTCACGTTGCATGTATGCATTTCTTTCTTCCTCCGCTTACAGGCGAGTAGGAATGGTGCGACCGGTGTTGAGTTGGACTTGGGGTTCTCTGCAGATGGGGTCCCAATCCTCATGCACGATGACACCGTGGATCGGACCACCAACGGTTCGGGCCCACTCAACAAGATGAGCTTCTCTGAGCTGCGCAAACTAGATGCATCTGCTAAACATCGATTCAGGTGAGAAAAGGACAAAACAGAATGCAGAAGGATCTAAACTCCTGTACACATGTCTGTCTTGCTGTTGGGTAACAAGATGATCAAATGATTGAATTCAAAGGCAGAATGTAGCATTTAATTTATAAAATACACATATTATTGTGAGATGAATATAAAGGTATTGTTTTGGTTATTATCTAATCAGAATACAACTCCTCGTTTCTAAGGCCTGACTTATGAATGAGCTCTGCTTTTCTCACTAGGTCCAAGTTTGTCGGTGAGAAGATCCCAACTCTGGAAGAGGCGGTGGAGGAATGCATCAAGCTGAAGCTCACCATCTACTTTGATGTCAAAGGTCATCCAGATGAGGTGCAGCCAACAAAACTAACAAAACAGAGTTGATGATGTGCAGCCGGTCAGCTGGTTTTATTGATTTGCATCCAGGTGAAAGTGCAAAAGGATACTGGGCCTCTCCTGTGCGTTGCAGAAATAATCCTACCTCTCTCGAACGCTTCCACATTCGGTCACTGCAGTTTATATTACTGGAGTGTTTTGTGCAACAGATTGAAGTAAAGTGGAAAGAATAGTTATGTACTAATTTGTATCACTTTTGTAAGGCACCGTAACACGAGGTCCAACAATGGAGACAATGGCTGAAATGAAATCTTCATTAAAAACTAAAACAGATCTAAAGGCTTCATCTGAACAACATAGAATAAGAGGATAATTAGTGATAAATGGGTGCAGATATGACACTAATATAGTGTCATTTTTCTTCAATAACATTTAAATATACTGATTGCTTATATGGAGCAATAAAGATAAAATTAAAGAAGCTTATTATTAAATCTTGTCACACTTTAGTTTTGAATTAATACTGAACGTGTTAAATTTGTTTTTTTTTATTAAAAAAAAAGGAAAATCATATCAATATTAATCAATATTAAGTGTGACAGAGATGCACATGTGTTCG